TTCTTTCCGGCGAGACTGATGGAAAAATATGTTAGTTAATGTGTGACACAGGCACAAATCACACTCCATACTTAAACCATTTCCAGACATTTCAATCACGCGTCATTCTGACTCGGCAGTCCTCGAAACTACGAAAAAAACTGCTTAAAACCTCTCAAAATTATGACTGACAATCAAAACGTGAATAAAACTACAATGAAAGATGTACAACTACAACACTTTTATTCAAGAGAGCAAGTAGAATGTCTGAAATGTTTAGGAAAAGCTTGTTTTCCGTTGTGTTTGTTTGTTCGCTTTTTTTTAAACAGGTGAACGAGTCTCGAAGCAAGACTTTCGGTAAATAAGTTATCCTTACTTTTAACCGGCAGCAACTACCACTGGGTATCCTAGAAGACCTTTGTCTTCCCATTTGCAATCAGAAAATTAATTTAAGCTTGTGCATATTTTTAAAAGCTTTACGCGAGGCCATTGACATCGCCTTTCTGTCTCAAATCTTTAGTACGTGTCATGACATGAAATAATTACGCCTGACTTTACGACAAAACTAAAACGAGACAAAAACTGTAACAATTACCCTATACTGAGTATTTTTACCCTACTCGCAGAGTCTACGACAGTCAGGAGTTCGGGCGTGTCCTGACGTCATAACTAAATTTTCTGAGATCGATAGGTTCCCATTTTCTATACGTATAGGGCTCCGCTGCGCGCGCTTCAATATAATTAGACTGCAGTAAAAGACACACATCTAGTGGGAGAAGAAAATACTAAAAATCTAGCGTTTAAGTTTTCTTTTTCGTTTTTAAGTTATAGCCATCAACTGGCTGCAAGTCATAGCAACCTTGTAATTCCTGTTGTTTTAAAACGTCATATAATTTTAATTTTCACAGCATTAAATTTTGTGATTATAGCGGAGCTCCGCGCGCGCGCGAAGCGCGCGCATGGGCGGAGCCCCATAGCTAAGGTTCAGGGCGGAAAAACGTAATGAGCATGCGTGAACTTTTTTGCCCAGATCCCCTGGCCGGGTTTGAAAAAATGGCGGGATTTCAAATATTTTGTTGCCTAAAAATAAAATGTTTCCACTCATAACCTGGAAAGAACAGGCAATTGGCCTTCAAAAGTTGCAAGCTGTGGTTATAACCTTGTCGTTACTTAATTTTCTCGAAGAATACCTCATAGTAAAACGGACTTTAACAACATTAATTTCCTTGCGTTGTACTGGAAAAGTGCATGCGTAGGTTCGATTTTTTTAAAGATGCATTCACAAAATGTGTTCATATAAGGACGTTCCTGGATATATAAGGTCCGGAGCTCCACAGTGGACACAAAAACAACATATCTTTGGACAGTGATTTGCCCAAAAAAATTAAGGCTTGCCCACAATGTGTTTGAAGTCACTGAACTTTGTCTCACTCGAGCTGATATTTTAAAACCCTCGCTCGATCGGACACTCGTAGTTTCGCAGATCACTAAAATTTAAACAAAATCCTCAATGTAGACGTTATTGCGTTGATATGTGGGCAGAAAAAAGGTCAATCTTTATCTGGTAAAATCTTCTCAAAAATCGGTTTCGAAGCAACTATAGTTTTTTAAACTTGCTCGTTTCGCGCAGATATATAAATTTTGCTTTGTGTTGTCAAGTTGAACATGCATAACATCTGTCAAAAACCTACGCGTGAGTAGGATTTCCTTCAAACAAAGTTAAAGTTATATTATTTCAAAAACTTCTTGCCGACAATGAAGAAATGAATTTTCTGTACGAAAACAACCTACCTGAAGATCTTAAAAGCAAAAGATGCAACTTGGCAGCCAAGCCATGATTCACCATTTAGCTATTTTAAGCTTAACTGGTCCATGCCGTTGCGAGGGTCTTCGTTTAAGCAAATTAAACTAAGCTGATCTTTAGAAAACACAGAAAATTGCACATAAGGGTTTGTTTTGCTCACCTCAGTCAAATCCAGCTGCAGCAATTGTTTACGGGAAAAGAGTCAATTGTTTTGAAGTCACTGCCGGCAGTTGTCGTTCTCAACTTCACAGCGAGTGAAAGGGACAATTTGCGTACAGAAAGTTATTCTTATAAAGAACAGAAACTTTCACAGTGCACTGGAAAACAAAACTATATAATGAAAAATGGAAAAAACTCTGACTACTATTACTTGAGCAACAGAAAAATGATCCTGAGTAAGCTTGCTGGCCTTCTATTTCCGAGGAAGTTTAATAAGCGCACCAGTTTGCTCACTCTGATGCGTTATAACAACAAAATGGTTGTTTGACTGAAGACAAAGATAAAGCTGGTTCTGCAAAGGTAATAAATCTGGGCGTGTAAAAAAAGTAACCGTAGCTCAATGACAGAGTACAAGCGGGTTTTAATTCAACCCGGCGAAATCAACTCATAAATTAATCGGATGCACAATCAGAAAAAATACTCGCCTCTTTAAAAATGTTCAAAACCTTTTATTCCACCTCAGACTGACGGAATGATCCGTTTTTCCTTTAACATCGGTTGTTCTGAATCCAAAGTAATTTTCAAGCGACGAAAAAAAAGCAAACATGTCAAATAAAAATGCTTTACAGGGAGCAAACGTTCGCACCTCGTGCACTTCACTCCAGCAACAAACTAACACAGTCAACACACAGAAAAGCCCGCCTTGAGCCTGCGATAAGAGATGCGCAGAAGCTTGCGCAGAACGTTTTTCCGCCCTGAATAGCTAAGGTAATCTACCCATCCCAGAAAATTTGTTAATCACGTGACCGACCGACCGTCCGTCCGCACCACAGGCATACCAATGTTTACCCTCACACTTTCTAGCTACTTTGGGAGCCCAGGAGGAAGCTGATTGCACATCAATGTTGTCATCAATTGACAGCTGTGAAAACAGGGTATCCGCTGACCAGTATCACCTGACCGTATCGCGGGCTCAGGTGTCGACCCATCAAGGTCGAGTATTTTTTGAAGTTATGTGCTGACAATATATTCGGTTTCAAATGATTGCAGGCTCACGTTTACTTTTTTAAAAAATTCATATCAAATATGTTGTGTTTGTGTCAGTATCGCCCCGCACTATTACGATTTTGATTTGAAACTGACCTCAGACGCAAAAATTCAGCCAGTTTTTTTAAAATACAGGCGGGGAAGACCTTTTCTTACCATAGTCACGTGTTGGTCACGCTCCACGTTCAATTTTTATGTTCTGATTAGTTAAAATTTGACAGGTGAGTTCATGCGTAAAATTTATGCAGCATCTTGAAAGTTGTTTACTTTGACAGCTGAAGCTGACAGAGTTTTGAGTCAACTTGTGATGTTTTTGACTGTCTTTTTCCATTGGATGTACAAAATGAAATACAGCTGCTGTCAAGAGTGTTCTCTTATTCATGGTTTGTTTATTGGGTTTTTGGTTGAGAAATGCGTCGCTTGTCAAAGCCGATAATCCGATTTCGGATGGCATCGTTTTTGTTTTTCACCTTGCTGGATGCGTGCGAGAATTATAAAGGCTCAAGCGATCCTTGCCTTACTTGATAGCTTTCAGGAGCTGCATCTCGAAATATAGTAAGCCTGAGTAATTATTGTATTTATATCTAATTTCATGAAGTCCAGCGGCGCAGTTTATGAAGCTAGTTTATGCACGTTTGTATTAAGAGTTGACTGAGACACTCATCTGACCTAGTATGAGGTTTGATATAAGCTTAAGCTTACAGAACTTTAAAAAGCCTTTAGTCGATATTAATTCACCGTAAATAGAAAGAAAAGACTTTCCGAAGAATATTTAGTTATAATTTTGGCTATAGAAAGAAAGCTTAGAGCGATTTTCTTGTCCTGAGTTCATCTTTGAAAAGAGCAAACAGGCCTGGGAAACCGGCGGCTTAAAATATAAACTTAATCTTTAAGCTTAGGGAAAGTTCATTTAATATGACAAGGGGGGGGGAATGAAGATATTGAGGGGGGCTCCGAAAATTTTTAGACACCCGGAGGGGGGCTCTGAAAAAATTGTTGCGCTAGGAGGGGGGGCTCCGAAAATTTGTATACTTCAGAACCAACACATGACATCATCATACACATCGGATGGTTTTCAACTCAACAATTTAATGACCTGTGCAACTCAGCTATATCACGTGGTTTACAGATATAACAAATGTAGTCTCAGTAATTATTACACTCTTGTTCATCCCAAAAATGCTTTAGAAAATTTCAAAAATTAGAAATGCTCAAACTTTTTATAATAAAATCACATTGATTCAACAAGATTTCAAAATCTGCTAACGGGAACTATAAAAACGATGACTTTGTAACAAGAAATGTTAAGAAATGAAGGAGAAGGAGGGGGGGCTCTGACATTTTTTCGACTACCAAGGAGGGGCTCCTAAAAAATTGAACCGCTAGCGAGGGGGCTGCTAAAATTTCAAGCTTCGAGTTTCAATATCTTCATCCCCCCTTGTCATATTAAATGAACTTTCCCTTACTAGTAAAGACTTGAGGATTCTTAGAAACACTTAAATACTCATTTGTTTTCGTGAATGAAAATTGTTGTCTCTGTAAACGTTCTACCGAATTATAATTCTTTATTGATTATTGGTAGTCTCAAAAGTGTAATTTTCATCGCTTTGCCGTTTGTTTCCAGCCGTTCATAAACATCGCTTGCAGGAGTACTCAAAATGCCGAGCGTATCAAACGATTTTTAAGGTTACAAATCGTAATAAAACCATGAATAAAAAATAGACTCAATAAATTCTTTATCACGTTGAAACGTAACTCTTTTAAAATTTCTTCGCAAATTTGGCGCTTGTCAAAAGTTAGAACGTTAACCGGCTGGCCGTATAGGTGATTTTGGAAATTTTTTGAACGGTTTCGCTAATTAAAAGTCCACGCGTGCTTCGATGGTCCTGAATATTGAATGAATGCACTTTGTCTTGAAAAATTGTGAAATACTGCATTTTGTACGAGGTCTGTATGATAAAAACAACGCCTCGTAGTACTCTTTCTCCTCAGATGTGGTGTATTAAAAAAAAACAAAAGATTGGTTTGCACGCACCCAGATTTGTTGGCAAGAATTTGTAAACTTGTCGATCGCAAAAAATTCAGCCTGATTTGTTTTCCACGCCTTATCTACTGCAATAATGGCTCTTGGCAAGAGCCATTATTGCTCTTAAATTTGACCGTACACCTTTTTGGGTGTACATACAAGGCTATATCAACTCGATACAAGATTTGTTCACTCCATAATCACTTAACTTTTCAATAGGAGCTTCGCTTTTAGCCGTGGCTAAATCTATATATTATTGTTCTTTAAATTGCATAAAAATAGTATGTTAAATGAAAACTGGGAAAAAACAGAAAATGGATAATAGGGCTACGGTTCAAGTTTGTTTTTGTTCTCATTTTTCATTTTCCCGTGTTTGTTTCAGTTGTTTCCCGTTCCCCGTTATAGAAACAGGAGCCAGGATAATCTTCATAATATTTATACTTCTCACCTTCTTCAGTCTTTTTGTCAGTACATACAGCATTTGCACAATATGTAGTCGTCGAATACTGGTAGAAATCCCGAGAACATTGTTCCAAGGATGTTTCATCACCAAAACATTTGAAGTAAGCGAACCACACTGAGATATCAGAGGAACAAAAAATTCCGTTTCCTGAAACCGAGGCTGAATGATATCCCAGCTGTCTGCACGCTACTGTGGCGTCTTTAATGTCCCATCCTGATGCATAAACTGAACCCCACGTTCCAGCGTAATGAACCTCTATTCGTCCCATATTTGATGAGTGTGACCCTCGTAGCCTAATCGGCATTACTGAAATATTTTGTGGATAGAAGAGGCTTGAATTAGAGCAATAACACATGGACAGTTTACATGGGCTGTTGAAGTCAGGGGTACAATAACCGGCAGTTGCAATGGATTAAAATAGGCGGGCATTTTCCTAGTTTCCCCTGGTCTCTCTATCAAAACGAGGTTAAGTGCTTAGCCTTTCAATATGGAAATAACTTTTCATTCTCATGCAAATAAAACTCATTTTCACAAGAAAGGTTGTGCACGTGGCCTCATTTTGAAGTGAAGGTTCTTGGAACTCAGAAGTGGCCTATTGAGCAAACTGAAAAGATCATGCAAAATGCTGAGGCTAATGCTTGTACGTTGGATCAGATTTAGTGACATTCATCAAATTAATTAACTCCTTTTGAATTCATAAAATTATGTAAAAACTAATGATTATATAAAGCAGTGTAACGATTAGAAAGTGAGACGTCGGCACAACTGTGTGTGACTATACAAGTGAAACTTTTTGTTACCGTTGTTGAATGACGAGTCCTTACAAACGACACTCGCGGTGACGGCTCTATGCTGCAATTCAGTTTTATTTCCAAGCCCATCATGAACACATTCCATAACATTTGACTCACTTCCAGTACACTGGAGATTGGTTATCCAAACTGGACCGCTGACCGGACCATAAACACCGTTCTTTAAAGCCACTTCCGCTCCAGCTGAGTAACCAAGCTGACGACAAACTACCGTGGCGTCATTTATATCCCAGTTTCTGCTACTGATTGCTCCCCAGACCCCTGCATAAAACACTTCAACGCGGCCAGCGTAAGGTAAGGTGGATCCTTGAAGGCGAATCAGATTATCTACGAAAATAGGATTAAATTTTTTTTTGGTGTATTGTCCATACCCATATCACACCGGTAATGAACGAACAAACTTTGTTTAAGGGTTAGAGCTTAGAAGTCTCTAACTGTTTTAATATTAAACCGAGTGCTCTAGAGGAAAAGTTTCCTTTTTTATTTATTTTTTTCCAATCGTCAACGAAAAAGGAAAAAGAGCTGAAAAAGACCGACCGCCTCATTGCGTTAAGGGAACGTTTTGTTTGTTTGTTTTTTCGGGTGAAATGATGTTGATTTAAGAAGGAAAGAAATTAGGGTAGATGGGTATGCACATACTGACCAATTACTGGTAGTCAGCTTAAATGAGCTTAGTGGCACCTTGTTTTGGTGGTGGACGTCTATATGGTATTTAGCGTTGGTTTCTCATTTGAGGTTTACAGCTTACCTCTTTGGACATGGGGCGACAAAACATAAACTTTTGTAATTAAATGTTCGCAGAATTCGCTCTTTTGGTAGAAGAAAGTCTATTTTAATTTTCAACTTGGCTGCTTAAATGTCCGACCGATATAGGTTTCCTTCAGGAAACGTATAACACCCCCAGAGGTAGGAATTTCAATACAGAATTTTTAATTGTATAATCTTTACAAACGAGAAACTTAATTTAATTGGTGTATTAGAATCGCCAAACTGCACTTTCTGTCAAGAAGAAGCGGAATCCGTCTAACTCTTCTTCTGCAGGATATCGTCTGCCTTTTGGAAACATGTATTGTCCTGGCTAAGAGATAATGATCCTCATGTTGGGACAATTAATGTGATATTTGGAAAATTTGATATTGTAGAAGACTATATTCTAATTCATCATATTTTGTGAATTGGTAAATATTCTATCTACTATAGGAAATGTCAA